AAGAAACTCAGAGAAAGAAAAAGATAAGAGTTAATTGATGGGGGTGGTTCTAGTGGAAATACATCTTGTTTGATGGGTTATGGAGTGTTGGGTGTTCGAACAAAGTCCCACATTGATAGCTGAAAAGATTGGAAGTCTACATATAAGGTGTAAGGATCTCTTAATGGTGTGAGGCCTTTTGGGGAAAATCGTGCGGGCTTGGCCCAAAGCGGACAATATCACACCATGTTAAGGGGAGAAATTCAAAAATAGCCAGATTTACCACTGGTCGTTGAAAAATAGCCAAGTTTCAAAAGTAATCGAAATTTAGCCACTTTAAATCTGAAAACACTGTTCAAAATCCGGAAAAATACGCCCGCAAATTTTACGGGCTGGAACTCCCGCAAATTTTACGGGAGTTCAAGCATATAATATACTGGAGTTTGGAGCACTGGTGCTCCAGTCTCCCGCAAATTTTACAGAAGTTAGCAAAGTATACCGATCCAACATAATATGCTGGAGTTCGTACACAAATGCACCAGAACTCCCGTATATTATACTGGACCGGTCCCTGTTGCAGCAAAATAGTGGCTATTTTTCATTGACTTGATAAACGCTGGCTATTTTTTATTGACCGGTGTGAAAACTGGCTATACCATGATATTTTAACCATGTTAAGAGTGTCATTGGGCCGTTTAAGCCCAACATGGAGATGACGACAACAACAAAAACAACAATGGAAATGCAGCCCTATGTCCTCCTCCAATGAGGATGATGATGATGTCTCCTCCTCCTATAACTAATAACAATGCAGAAAGCAGCAATAATATTGGTGGCAACAATATCAACATATGGAGATTTTAACGTCTTGACCACCTTCCTACTATTGTTTCATATTACTTCGATGAATTGGTCTTGGCTGGTCGAAGCACAAATATATCAACATATGAAAATAATAGTAAAAAACAATTAGCTGTACATACCTTTATTGCACACCGAATGACTCGAACAACAAAGCTAAGAGGCTAAGCTTCAACGTGGACGAATGGTGCAATGGAAAAGCCTCTGAGGATCACAAATATAATGCCAAATTATTATGAAATAATTGTTTATTCAATTTTAATAAAGTTTTAAATAGATCATATATTCGATTGTGTCCTTTACTTATATAGTAGATGATTTAGTGTATAGAGTTTAGCTTATACACGAAAGATTAAATCATCGGTTCTTATAAGTATAAAGATCATGTTCACAATCTAATGATGGAATTGGACAAACCACCAGGAATGATTGTACCACAAGATTAAATATAATTTATCTTGATTATAGAAATGGTTTAATTCCGACTTCTTGTGCTAGTACATTTTGTATGTATTGAACGGACCAAATAGAGATAAGTATTTTATACTGACTTAATAAAATAAATTCTCTAGGCATTAAATGTACTTATACTCCTAATCTTGATATGCTTATTATTAGTTGTATATATTATTATTGTTTTGATTTATTAAAAGGCGAGATTCTTTCGTGGGTCAATATGCCTGGTAAATTGGACAATAATGATATACATTGACAAAATAATAGTTAGTTGATGGAATCCATATCTCGATCTAGAGATTGATGATACACCTTTAAAAAAACTTATAAGTTTTCATGTGTAAACCCTGCAGGTAAATTTTGTATCCGTCACATGAAATAAGTTAAGCGAAAGTCTAAGGGAAATAATCAATGAATTAAATTGTCAGTAAATTAATTTACTTGATTAGTATCTGAATCTTAATATGGGGAGTTAAATTAGGTTTAACGGAAGAATTTCAAAATTGAACTGAGGAGTGCAATTACGAAATTTTAGTGGAATAATTCGTAATTTATTATGGTAGTATTAATTCGTATATTTCGAATTAAGTCCATAATAGGAAGCATCGTTAATTAAATACCGCGGTCCCTGCTGTGCCCGAAAAATTAGGAATTAAATGGAATCATATTTCTCGGTGGAAAAGGAAGACCCAACAAGTTTAGGAAAATGTTTTAAACCCTAAAACCTGTGGCTATATAAAAGGGTCTTATTCCATAAGGAGGCTATAGTTTTTACTACACGGTTTTCCTAGAAGAAACTCGCCCACACGAGTTTCGCTAAGCTAATTCCGGGCATTATTCGGGTCACACAACAGAAGACCGTGAAACTAGAGGATGATTTTGGTGTACACGTAGAACTAAACAATTGAAAGACACGTAAATGACATTGATAAGAGATGTTGAAAGTCCAAAATACCCTCTGCTTTTTTTTAAATGACCAAAAATAGCCATGTCGAAACTCTAGCTTTTCTAATATATAGTATAGTAAAACCAAGTGGAAGAATATAAGTTATGTCTTTATTATATGTGGTCTGCATTAATACATTATAATTAGTTCAACCATTAATGGGAGGCAAGGGTGGAGCTAGCCCTTCGATTACGGGTTCGGTCGAACCCACTAGCTCTAGTTCAAACTTTATATTTGTCTGAAGAAATTCATTGAATACGTACAATTTCAGTTCTAGAAATATGAAACTTGTAAGGTCCCTTACACTCAACAATTTCAGTTCTAGTAAATGCACCATCTAAATTGAGTTGTTAGGGTGTAGAAGGGCTTATATACAAAAGTTTTATCTCAAACAACAACGGGGGAGGTAAGTTAATCTGCCTACAAGAACTTTACACGTTGAACAAAATAAAAAGAAGAAGCTGAAGTCCCATTCAAGTCATATAATCGCCGACTACCCTCTTACTCGCACGCCTACCAACTAGAATAACGACAGTCAGACTAACCCCAAAAAAAGAACTCTCACTCGAGAAAGCGGCCCGCTGAAGAGGCCTAAGACTGGTCTCTTTCCTCTCATACCATGCCTGTTGAAAATTCCTTACCTTTTCCCTTGAACCGGGTATGAATTCCTAAATCCATTTACTTCGACCAGGATAAACTCCTTCTATACCCCAGGAAAAAGCTAAAAATAAAATAGTCATCAAGCCAGAGCTAGTTTCACAACTACGGATTCATGACAAAAGAGAAAGGTGATTTTCTATCCTTTTGAAAAATAAAGTACAGAGATGCAAAATGCACGGTAATTGGAAGTTATATGGTGAGTATAAACACAAATATATAGCAAGTTGGCATATCGAAATCCACATATTTATATGAGTTGCAAATCTGAAATATCAATCAACTCTACCTCAATATCAAATTAATTGGAAATGAGACAAAAATATAAATATAAATAAAAGTAAAACATAATGTGTTTGTGGGGGTGGGGGGGTGGGGGGGGGGAGGGGGTAAGGGGAGACTAAATACTGGGAGAAATTCAAAAATAGAAAAATTTCAAGTGGTCATTCAAAAATAACCACAGTTTCAAAAGTAATCCAAATTAGCCACTTTTCATGTAAAGATAAATATGAACGAAAACACTGTTCAAAATCCGAAAAATACCCTAGCATAATATACTGGAATTCTAGTATAAATTATAATATGCTGGAACTCCAGTATATTATGCTGGAGTTCCAGTATAATATACTGGACTTCCAGCATAATATATTGGCCAGTATAATATATCGGTCCAGCATAATATGGTAGGAGTTCATACACAGGTGCTCCAATCTCCAGTATATTATGCTGAAACTTTTCACGTGTTGGAGTTCCAGCATAATATGCTGGAAGTTCATACACATGTGCACCGATCTCCAGTATATTATGCTGGAACTTTCCGTGTTGCAGCAAAATAGTGGTTATTTTTCAATGACTTTACATACGCTGACTATTTTTCAATGACCAGTCCGAAAACTGACTAGCTTGTGCTATTTTGTCTAAATACTTACCTGCAATTAGTATCTACACCAAACTATACTAATTTATCATGATTAAGTGATATGCTAGAGAGAATGATTAAGTTATAATGATCCATTTGTAAATATCGACTGCGAATTTGTTTTAGTCATGCATTAATTTGTGCCGAATAAATATCGACTGCCAATAAATTTTTAGCAAACCACGAAATCCCTCGAAGGTTATCTTTACTACGCGAATTTAAACAAATGGAGTTTGATCAAACTGTAGATTTGATTACCAAATTGACTCAATTAAGTAATTATAAAGAAAAATCTTGATAAATAAAAATAAAAGTAAATCAAATCAATTCCGCTAACTGACATTTTGCCCCTATTATAAAAGTACTAGATTGGGATTGGCCCGTGTACTAGATTGGGATTGGCCCGTGCAAGCACGGGCCCAACACTTTATGTTAGTAAAAATAGTACGGATTAGCCAGTTTTTGGATTGGTCATTCAAAAATAGCAAGCGTTTGCATAGTTATTGAAAAATAGCCGCTGTTTTGCTGGAAGTTCATACACAGGTGCACCGATCTCCAGTATATTATGCTGGAATATTTTCCGGATTTTGAACAGTATTTTCGTTCAGATTTATCTTTACATGAAAAGTGGCTAAATTTCGGTTACTTTTAAAACTGTAGCTATTTTTGAATGACCACTTATAAATCTGACTATTTTTGAATTTCTCTATTTATGTTATAGCGTAGTGTATTTGGACAAATATTGTTTATCAACATACAAAGTAAAGTACAATATTCAGCGGAAGAACATATCATTTGCAGCATAGTAACAAACTAAAATATGTATTTGCCGTTCCTGTATCCAGGTTTATCCCTAATGCTTTCACAAGTTTCTCTTTGAAATGAAGACAAGGCACGATATCAGCTCAAAGTGATTCTTGTTTCGCTTTGATGTGTCAGCAAATTGGCTCTCCAACATTAAAGTTACTATAAAATGTGCAAGTTTAGCTTGACTTAAGCTAAGCCAGGGGTATTCTTTTAGCTAGTCAGAAACAGGTATGTTAGAGCAGGAATGAAGGTGATATTTAGGATTACATTTTCCATCATGCGATACAAGCTGAATTAAAAATGGAAAGTACATAGTATTCCAATGCGGAAGAAATATTCCTGAATAAATTCCATAAAGATGATAATCGGAAAAGCTTTAAAGAAAAGAGGAGAAGACTTTTATTGATCCATCACAAACTGAATGTCTTTACAATCAACTAATTATTATTTATACAAAGGGCAGTAGAGGAAAATAAGTTGTTAAAACTAACTTCTGGAAATCAGTTGCCAATCATGTGCCTAATAATGTAGACCCAATCCCCGACCTTACAACTCTTATTAGTTATTCCCTTGTCACCCTGAATTATAGCTTTTTCTTAAACTATAGATGTTCTTAAGGTAAACAACTTTCAAAGTTTAGAATTAAAAAGAAAAAATAAATAGAAAACTCTCGCTTATCCTGCCAAGCTTTTTCTACAATTATGATTCTTGTCCTTTTGGGATCGCACCATAATTACAGGACATAATGAAGTATTGTGTTAATTCTTTTCAGCTACATTGCTCATACTCTCCAAAATGCTGTATCCTTCAAAAATACACTACTTTTGGAGGATCTGACACTCACCTGATGACATTTTCGGACAGTCCGAATAACATAAAGCACCAGTACCGAGGTACCTTATTCAAATGAACTAATTGTAGCTGATGTAACACTTTCAGAGGCTTGGTTTGCCCTCGTCTAACTGTACCAATCTTTGATGATATAAAATCCACCTTCAAGGTCCCATAGTGGGGACTTGAGTGGTTTTTTTGAAGGAAAAAAAAAGAATGTTTACCGTTAGATTCAGTTTTTTATATGATTCTGGTCTTTCTCCATTATAAGTGGTTGACTGATCAGCATTTCAAATCATTTCTGAGATTTATTTAACCTTTTATGGTGTTGCATATTAGCATAACGGTCATAAAACTGGCGACCTCACAAACTTCGACCATAGCACGATTCCAGTAATTCAAATTGAGAATAGAGAGCAAACGAAAGAGCTGTGCTTCTCTTGATGAGCAGAACATATGAAATGTGTATTCAAGTGTGAGAAGTATGTGTACTCATCTGAAGTAACATGAACTGCTAAAAATGCAGCTAAAGCAACTATACGTTTTTATGTTCAAACCAAGTAAGGAAAGCCTGAAAGGCCATCAGCCGTCATGTAGAAGAGCATATGTGGTTCAGTCTTATACTTTTGAGCATATTATTACTAAAATGTCAGAGCATTACCTTTTTCCTTGATGAATGTTTTATTTATACTGCAACCGCAAACATTCCAGCTAATCCATCTGCCCACAAATACAATTAAGTCCTATTATTAGGAACAATAATGCAATTATTAGATGTAAAGCATATCAAGAAAACATTTCCATCCATTCAATCTCAAAATTATTATAAAGTTTTCACATACTACTCGTGAACTCAAAAGAAAGAATTATATCTTATCAAGCAAATCGTTGTAAGCATATGATGAGATTGAAGTCCATACTTCTGAGCTCTCCAAATATTTAGGTGGTACTTGTATTCGCCCTCTTTTATCAGTAACATCTTTGTCATTATTTTACTATTGTTGAGTGCTAGTATAACATCAAGTTTCAAAGCAAATAAAGAAGCTTTTGAAAGATTATGAAGTTTCTTCATTACAGTAGTAACTACACAAAATGAATTTAAATCATCATAATTTCAAGAAATACATGTTCTTCAAAAAAGCTATATAGAAAACTAATAAGTTTGACAACCATTTGTTTGTAGAAAATCTGGATAGCACTCCCCAGGTTGAACTCACTTGAGTACGGGGAGAAAATGAAGAGAGTTATTAGCACAAATTATGCTTCCTCGATCAGTCTCATATCTAAAGTATGGACATATTTAAATATACCAATAAGCAAGAGACAATTGCAATTACTTGTACGCAAATCATATCAGGATTTAATCCAAAGAGTTCTTCACAAATAGTTTTTCTACAGTGGTCAATGTCTCTTTTTTATTTTTTATTTTTGTGGTAAGTGCATGTAAATATCGTGCTTCCATGCACGACAATCCTTAGAAAAGAATATCAATGAGATCTCAAGTGCCCCTCCTCCTTTCTATGATGCTAGTGGAAAGTACATATTTTGAAGAATAGACTTCATTTATTCAAATATCAACATTCTTCTAAGCAAAAAGAATGTATATTCTTGAGTTCTCTTTTAAGTCTGTCTTCCACGAACAATCAGTGCAAATCACTATGGTTTCATCATAATGGAAGCTAACAATCTTTTCATCCCTTAATACCTTGATTCTCATCTCACCCTCTTTGTGTGCAAAACTAAAGTTCAGAAGGCAATTTTACAAACACCTAGTAGGCAAACTGAAAGCAGCGCTGCCTAAGAAAAAAAAATTGAAATCTAGCAAATAATTGGTGATTCCTTAGACTTATTAAACCAAGAAGTAACACACGAAGAAGAAGAAGAGAAGTAATTACCTCCAAACACAGTGATCAAATCTTAGAGGTAGAGCAAATTCAAGAGAGACCCAAATTGAGAAACAACGAAAATTTTAAGAAAAAGAAATACAAACTCAGAGAATTCAAATTCGAACAAAAGAAGAATCTTTAGGAATCAGAAGCATCAATTTTGATACCTGGTGAAGGGGTTACTCCACAGCAAGAGAAGATGGGCATGAACACTACAGGGAATACACGAAAATAATAATCTGAATCACAAAGAAGAAAAGTAGATGAGACTTTTATGCAATTTGGGAAAACTCTCTCTCCAAAGTACAACATGTGCAATATAAAGTATAACTTATTGCTGAGTAAGATAAATATTAAGTTGAAATGACAAAAGTTCCCCTGGGTAAGCTGGCATGACGACCCTCATCTGCTTCCAAGCGGCTTCTATATATGAAGAAAACCAAACTGACTCAAGTCCAAAGCGGTTTCTCATTGGTCGAACAACGACGGCATTTGCTCTCTCTCCCGCCACAGTCGCGGCAGCTTCTCATCTTCGATCCTCCGCGTCACGACGGTTATTTCGTCCTCTCCGCCGTCCCCAAGTAATGTGATACATTTGCCTGACTCGTTATTTTCGACTCAAATTTCTCGCTTTTCATCAATTCTGTCCGCTTCATTATATATATATATATATATATATATATATATATATATATATATAAAATACATATTTATGTGGATGTCCACTAATCAAATATAACTCCCACTACTCTTTTCCATTATGTAGATAACCCCCACTACTTCTTACCATTATGAATGTAACTCCCACACCTCCATGATCTTCCCCCATGTTCTCAATAGTTAATAACATGTTTATGGAGTCCCTTTGTATTACCTATATCATCCTATAAATAGAGGGTTTGGGCATCACATTGTACACTTGAATACATGGAAGAAATAAATTCTCTACTCTTTTTCTCTCTACATTGTTGTCTATCTTCTTGTTTTATATTATTACTTTGAGCTAAGTTTCGTAACACGTTATCAGCACGATGCATCATCCTTATGTTATGATGCATGATGAAGTGTGATATGGCACTTGAAAGGAGGGCATCCCTCGTAACGATTCACAAAAGGTTTAGTTCCAGCAAGAAGACGGTATTCAAGGTGGGTATTAAGAGTATGAATGATGAAATCCTGCAGATAGCACCTTGTTCAGTTATAGTAATTAAATTTTTCTTATCTAACTAATTTTTTTCTTCATATAATATATATGAGGTAAGTTTCCTTCACTTCATTTTTTAACGCATAACTAGTATATGCTAATGGTCCAAGAATATTTAGACCGATTTAGAACTGTTATCATTATTCAATTATAATATTTTTTGTTGCACTACAAATTAAAGATGATAGTTTGCAATAAAAGGTAATTGCTACGACGGTAATTAAGTAAGATTTCTTCCTCTAACTTCTTTAACTTATATATTTCCGTAATCCTACCACCTCTATATGCATGCACAACTTCGAATACAGATAATTGTTAGTTTATACAAACTAATATTTATATTTCATAGTTGTGGTAAAACTAATTTATGTATTATTATAATATTTTTGTTATGTTAAATTTGAAAAAATTTGAGTATGTGATACTTGATTTGTTTTTCACCATCCCAATGAGGCTTGAATGAAAATTTATAAAACAATATGTAATCACAAAGTGGTATATTTTTAAATGCTCGAGGGTGAATACTAGTAAACTTTTAACTAAGGGTAAGACGGTGGGTTCAAGTCCCAACGCACCATAAGGGTAAGACATCAGGTTCAAGTCTTGATGCACTATGATGATAAGAGTTGGATTTGAGTCCCAACTCATTATGACCTAGCATGTTTTTATATGGGTAAGGCATTGGGTTTGAGTCCCAATGCACCATATTGATGATCTAATGATGACTAATGAAAAATAATGTATTTTTCATGAAAAACATGAAGCTTGTCCCACTTGATTTGCTCCATTCTTGAAGTGAATGTGATAGCGATGCATAATAAATCTAAATGAAGACAAGTGGTTGACTAATGAACGTGGGCGTGCCAAAGACCAAAATAATAATAGTCATCATTATGGTAATTATAAAAAGGAGAACAATAAGGTTTCTCAAAATAATCCTTTAAGCGTGAAAGAATTGTGTATCAATATGTCTGTAAATATGAGGCACGCTCAGACGATTATAATCCATTTTTTCGAAATAATGCGACTGTGATAAGCATTGTTAATGCAGACTCATTCCTGAAGTGAGTGTGAAAATATATATGTGATACCAATTATGCACAAGTGTGACGACCCGACCCGTCGTCTCATGTGTTACTGCTCCGTTTTTCCCGTTTATTGCTTCTTCACATTTCGTTATCGGTATGTGGTGTGTGAGAGTTGATTTGGATTGGTTTTGATAAGAAATGAGACACTTAGTCTCTTTAAGGAAGGTTTAAATTGGAAAAGTCAACCGGACGTTGACTTATGAGTTAGAGGGCTCGGATATGAATTCTGATGGTTCGGTTAGCTCCGGGAGATGATTTGTGACTTAGGAGTGTGATCGGAAGTGGTTTTGGAGGTCCGGTGTAGAATTAGGCTTGAATTGGCGAAGTTAGTATTTTGGCGAATTCCGGTTGATAGGCAAGATTTTGATATAGGGGTCGGAATGGAATTCCGAGAGTTGCTGTAGCTTCGATATGTGATTTTTGATGTGCGTGCAAAATTTCAGGTCATTCGGACGTCGTTTGGTTGGATTTTTGATCGAATGCGTGTTTCGGAAGTTTTTGAAAGAACTTAGGCTTGAATTTGATGTAATTTGATGCTTTTAGTGTTAAACGTGGTGATTTGATGATTGGAGCAAGTTCGAATAAGGTATTGGATCATGTTTGTGTTTTTGGTTGAGGTCCCGGGGGCCTCGGGTGAGTTTCGGATGGTCAATCGGACCAATTTTGGCACTTGGGAGTTGCAGGTTTTCAGTCATTTTGTTGCAGAGAATTTAGTCATTGCGACCGCGGGGGTGTTGTCGCGATCGCATAGAAGGAGTTTGTGAGGCAGCAATTTTTGTTCTGTGCGTTCGCACTAACAGGAACGCGATCGCATAAGAGAAAGTGAGGACCCAGCTGAGTTGCCCTATGCGATCGCATAAGGTGGTCTGCGATCGCATAGATATGGCCAGTCGTTCATTGCGTTCGCATGGGTTATGGTGCGTTCGCATAGTGCATTTTTCAGGTTGTGCAATTTTGTTCATTGCGATCGCAAGGCTTGGGCCGCGATCGCATAGAAGGAAAGTACTGTAGCGGACAGAAGGGTTTTAAACATTTCATCCGCGAGTTTTAGTCATTTTTCCACCATTGTTGAGTATTTTGAGAGCTCTTTGGGACAAATTGAAGAGGGATTCAAGGAGGATTGATTGGAGGTAAGTTCCTTGGCCTAAATATACGAGATTATGATAGATTTAACATGGAAATTGGTTGAAATTCTTCAAAAAGGGGTAAAGCTAGGGCTTGAGTTTTTGAAATTTCAAATTGGGATTTGATAGGTCATTTGAGCTCGGATTTGGAAGTTCTTGGTATGTATGGACTCGTGGCGAGACGAGGAATCTGGTAATGTGAGTTTTATAATTTTTCGGGAAGTCGGGCCCGGGGCTCGGGTTTTGCTAGTTTGTTCGGATTCTTGCTTATTTTGATTGTCGATGGTCTCTCGTTCACAATAAATTAATGTGACGTATACGCTCTGATTTTGGTTTAGATTCAGAACGCGCGCGTGAGAGGCCGCATTGAGGCGGCAAAGGCGTCGCGGAGCGTAGGGATTTCGACGGTTCGATGGTGGAAGATAATACTATGTAAATGATATCACTGATGGTTTGAAACCCCCGATTATGCACATCATAGTAGCTGTATATGTGGTGACTTGCACAAGGGTATGAGGTCGTGGGTTAGGCACCGTGGGATTTAGATGACTTGTCTGCGCCGGTTGAGATTTTACATGCACGTTAATTGACTGATCTCTCTCTT